TAATAACTATTAATAAATAATACGCTCATAAAAAAAATGTTACTTTCCCACCAAATTTTTGTGGGATCTTGGTTTACATTTTTTAAAGCTTTTTAAAAGTAGGTACTTGGATTATAGCTTGTATTATATTTTGTTAGGTCAATACTATCATACACTGTCATTCTATCATACGTCATAATGAATTTGTATAATTTATAGCCTGTAACAGATAGAAGTGGGGGGTTCAACTTCCAAATTTAACAGTGGAGATTTTGACACTTGTTTTGAAAGTCTTGGACAACAAGTAAGGGCTGTGTGAAGTTGGCTCTTTCTCGGTTTCATCCTTAATCACTCATAGGTTATTGACTTGCAAATTCCGTGATTGGACTTGTAAATTCTTGCAAAATTATGGAACTATGCAAAACTTGTTTTAAAAAGTGTAAGGGCCACCTTCACTTACGTAATAATTAGGAACAACTGTAGGTATTTGGATAGTTTTTACAGCTGATGAGGCCACAAATTATTTCAACAAAAATTTCGTATTTCGATTTGTAGTAAATAATCATTAAAAACCAATAATATAATAGTATTCACCTCTGACCAACCAAAAGATATCTATGTGCTCAGTGAACAGATGTGTTATTGTAGGTTCAATATAAAAAACATTCCTATATTACGTATTACGCAGTCAATCACAGTCTTCGGCGGTACACACATAAAACGTAATCCCAACAACAACAATAATAATTACCTTCGATACCTTTACATTGGTTGTTATCATAATGGACTACGGGATCGGGAAAACTCGTGCACTGGTGTTGTACCTGTAAAGGAATAATTGCGAGTACCACTACTGCGATAGGTACCTATTACAATAATATTATCATTGTGTCCCGCACGCGATTATTATTGTTAAAACTGTACACAAATCGGACGTGGTACGATAGAAACTATCTAATATTGTATAATAATGTGTCTGTGTGTGTGGGACGGCCAGGAGATTAAGTCGATTACGGTTCAATTAGTCCACGGGGCGGGAGGATGCGTAAATCACATAAGTCCATTAAAGGTCGAAGGTCTGTGGAGGTGGCAGTGCCGAAAGGTGCGTAGGAATTGGTCGGCAGTTGATCAGACGATCGTCTTAGTCGCTGCAGCGCACAACATCTATGTCACTCACTCGACCGACCGATTATAGGTGGGTGCCTTCCTCTTTATATATATATATATATATATATAAAGGGTGCCTCTTAACCCGAAAGCCAGCAATCCAGACCAACACAATATAACCGCATGCCCGGTTAGGTTAGGTACAGGCCTAACTACGGTCTCTACTCAGCGCAACCGTTCGACGGGTATTATAATATTAATGTGAATTTTGCATCCTCGGACCGACATTTGCATAAGCCGCGGCGCGTGGCATCAGTGCAACGGTTGCGGTGAAGTAAGTTCTAAAGGCCGGTGGTATGATTGCGTGTTCAAGTGGACAAATATTTTGTCTTATCGACCACGAAGCGTGTCCGACAAAAACGTCTTCGCCTCTGTCACATGGTATATTAAACAATAACAATATTATTACCTTTATTTTATACAGAGTGATTCACCAAACACACTCACTCCCGTTTTTACATTTAATAATTAATTTATTCAAACTCTGATTTTTGGAATTTTTAAATATACTCAACGATCGTTTTTTCAAATTCTTGATTTTTTTTTACAATTCAAGGAGCATTCTGTTGTGATACAAACTTCTATTATTTTCAAATCAAAACCTCCACACCCCCATTCTTATTTACCGTAATTTATTTAGAGGACTATTTTTCTGAACATTTTGACATATCAAAATCAAAATTTGAATGATTAGTTTTTTAGTTATTAAACTTTGTGTACCTACTAAAGATAATAGCACATAGGTCCACAATAATAGGTTTGGAAGATATGGGGACGATTCATGGATAGATCTCCGTAATACATTTCCCCGTTACCGCTTCCCCTAATATTTCCCTGTCAAGTTATTTTCCCCTTTTGATATTTCCCCGTAAAAAAAGTCCATACTGTATATGTGTATATATGTTATTATAAACGTCAAACGATTAAACGAATTAAAAGATACAGCATCTAGCCAATTCAATTCAACTCCTTATCAAATAGTTGATAATAGTATATCTGCTATATTATCTCAAGCAATATCTTGCACTTTACCTTCAGCAGCCGCAATGAAGATAACTGTCCAAAGATTAAGGCGTTGTAAAAATGCACCACCCGTAAATCCTTCAACGTTAGCAGAAATAATTATTATTGAGCCGTACACTACACACTCACATTAAGTAATCACTTCGACTTCTTTATGATTGTGGTACTGATGATGGTAATCGAATAATATTGTTTTCAACTGAACAAAATTTAAACATATTAGCTTCCGACCAGTGTCATTGGTTTACAGGTGGTACATTTAAATCAACTCCACAACTCTTTACTCAGCTTCTTACAGTACATGCAATCAAATACGACACAGTATTACCGTTAGTGTATGCAGTTATTCCAAATAAAACACGTGATGGTTATATTAGGATTGCACAAGTGCTACTAAATTTGGAAAAAAAACTACGGCCAGCAAGTATTATGGTCGATTTTGAACAAGCGCTCTTTGGCGCACTTACAGACGTTTTCGATGGCGTTCAAATAGGGGGCTGATTTTTTCGTTTTGGGCAATGTATATGGAGAAAAATACAGTGTATTCCTGAAGTACGAGAAAAATAGATTTCAAACGCTGACTTTGCCTTAAATATAAAGGTATTTAATATAAGGTTTGATTTATGGTTTTCAGTAAAATTGACTTATGTAGAACCTAAATATATTAGGTGCATGTTCAAACCTTAGGTATGTTTATTAAAAAATATATTTCCATGTTTTTACTACAATAATAATTTGTTATAAAAAAATTACTTTGAAATTTTTACTTTTGTCCCCTAAGTACCAACTATAGATACATTTGACCCATAGAAAACATATTTAAATGGAAAATTGAAGCATTTTTACTGCACCAAAATGTAATGACAGGCACAAAAAACACACTCACATCATAGTTAAACCAAAATACCAATGCACTCATCTCTCCTCAAGAAACTAAAAATAATTACCTACACTAAATGAAAAATAAAAATAATTTCAGCTATTTTTCGAAATGGACAAAATGTTTGTCCATTACATGAACCTAAAAACTACTTATACATTATGATCGAAGTTCATAAAATGGATATCCATTTCTTGAAAAGTTCAATTACAGTATATGGATGTGACTTATATATATATAATATGATGTAATAAGCCATGTCCGAGTGATTTTTCTGATTGGAAACGACTGTGGCCCACGTCACAAGTTTTCTTTGGCGGAGAACTTAGTGGCTAGACATTTTCGGGTCACATTATTATTTGTATGATACATGTCTGTATGGATTTTATTTAATGTAGAAATCTGTAGGAACGGATTGTAATATTTTTGCAGTAGAAAGTGTATAAAACCCCGGCCAAGTAGGTACGGTGTGTAAGCTTACATTATAGTAGTGCTCGATCCCATGCAATAAATTTATGGATGGTGTATGCAAACGGTATAAAAATAATACAAAATTGTCGGTACATTTTGTTTTAGGAATTTGGAATTTTGAGTAACGGATGAAGAGTATTCACAAACACAGACCACAGTGAGTACTAGCGATTAACCTAACCTATACTGCCCAGGTGGAATACTGTCCAATTTAAGTTTTTAAACATCCTTAAAATGTTAATTTTAAGTCACAATAATAACATAATTGTATAACGTTTACTTTACATGATATATTTGTTAAAAAAAAAAAATCAATATTTATTACACGAAATAAGCATTCAACAAATCTATGTATTTCCAAATATAAATACATCTAATGAACATAGTAAAAGAACGTTGTAAGAATATTTGATAATAGTAAAAAAATCGTTGCAAGCCCGCATTGTAAAATTATTGTTTATAATATTATATTGATTATTGATATTATGTTCTTTTGATGTATACACTATACGGCAATTTATAATTATATATTATTATATTTACGCCTCGGTATTAATTGGTTTTATTTTTAATTTTTAAATATAAACTGCCCAAAAATTGTTTTATTATTTTATTATTATCATCAATACTCAGACGAGTGATGACCAGAGTCACAGTTTTACCTACTGATACCTACTGGAATACCGGATAATCGTCATTCGTCGCCACTCGCCAGTCGTCACTCGTCACTCACTATATCACTGCGTGTCTGCGCTACTGCAGATATAACAGTATAAGTGTCTTGTGCTTGTAACCTTGTGCCCAAATGTTCGGGTATTTTTCGTTTTTCCTATCCACTGCTTGCAAGTGACAATAGTTCGACACGTCTTCAGCAGTCTGCACATATCTTCACGTAACATTATCTAGTACACAATTTTCCCCATTGCAATTCAAAAAATTCAAAATTTAAGGCAAATGGAAATTAATGTCTCTGGTATAATTCATTAGAATAAAAAAAAATCTGGGGAAAAGTAAATGAATCATCGGTACATATTAATTATTTCTTCAAATGGTTATTATGTGTGTTTTTACATTTGCCCCAAAGTGTATAGGAGAATTGAGGCAAATATGTAATCACAACACAATCTATTACACATTAAATTGACGAGGCAAATGAAAATAAAGCATAATAACAATTAAATAATAGGTAAAATGTATTCTTAATTATTCTTCATATTAAAACGATTTTTTTAAAATTATAATATACAGGTATTATGTAGGTACATCGGTATTTTGTGTCCCATATTGATATTATATTTTACCTACATACATTTTAATACAATAAGTCTTTTTAGTTCCATTAGGTATTAATTATAAATATAAAATAAACTTTACACTTTTTTAGGTATCCACCTATAGTAATAAAATAATTAAGGAAAAATACAAAACAAATAAATGTAGGTACTTCAGTTTTTTGTGTCCCAAATTAATGGGGATAAAAATGCAGTATCTGCTGCTGCCTGCTACACAAACTAGAACCAAAATTGATTCTTGTCCAGATCCTTCAGATATTCTATTAAGGGCCTTTTTCTTTTCCCCTATATTGGCTCTCAGTCTAAATGGATCAGTATTGAAAATAAACATGTTTATGTGCACACCCTTGTCACTAACCCAACCTTTCCTAAGTTTCTACAACTCTTTTGGCTTTTTGAATGAAATAGATGGATGCCTCTTCGGCTCTTCATAAAATAATAATACCAATCATCACCAGGTGTAGAATCTTCAAAGTGTGTAATTTATTATTATTATTATTCACATATTCGCCTACCTACTAGAAGTTTAACTTTGTTCTTGTCACACGGATGTCCATTCTAGACCTAGCTATTAGCCAACATTCAACTTATTACACGCCATATGAAAAAAAATTCCAAAAAGTCGCTTGAGACTTTAGAGCATTTTGCATTTGTTCTCAAGGAAAAAGATGTATAAATAACACATCATAGATAATAGATTCATTATCTATGGATATGGTTGATGTATGATGTCATTTTAATTGTTTACCCACTGATATCCGTTATATGCAATCAGAAATAGGGGACGAATTTTTTTTTAAAATTCATATTAGGTAGATATAATAATGACGATTATGAGAATAACAAAAATTGTTCAAAAATGTGGGCTAAAGCCCATTAGTTATTGGGTAAGCACCAGGTTGCACCCCCTGCGTCCAAGGTTAAGGTTAGTACTGTATAATACTGTATGCATAAAATGCTAGTTGTATAAAGTATATTATAAAAATATATTATATTACGATCAACTAAAATATTTTTATGAATAAATAAAATTCTGACCATAATGCGCTGTTTCAAAACTGAAGGTCATGGATTATAATATTATGTTCGATGCGCCACTTAAAGTTTTGAAATACATATATTTTAATATTAGCTTGTTACTGTACAACATATTATTATTGTATATGTAAAAGGAAAAGACATATTTTATGTATAAATTCGAGTATAATATACAATTTTTTTTTTTTATTGATATTAAATAACGGAAATTATGAACATTAGCATTTTGTATGGGAGTTACGGTTAGTTTAGGAACACGTCTATATGGATCGAGGATTCGTCATTAAATTTTATGGTGGTCACCCATCTGGGAACTATAGCGACGCCGGCAGATGCTTGACCTCAGAACACATTAGTGACTGCGGCCAACCACCGAACCACACCAGACCTCCCAATATACCATTATACATAGGTACTATAGTAACTATATAATACATATTTTATTATTATTAATTTATGTCTGAATTTAGTTTTATTCTTGATCGTTAAGTCCTATTTACGTCGATTATGAGTGTACAATTAGTGTAATATTATTACTCTATAGTTTACAACAAATTGTCACCACTCACCGCGACGCCGACAGAATAAAAGTTAGCGATTAAGAATAAAAACAATTAATGAGCATTAAAAAAGGTCATTATAATGAGTTTAGGTTGTTGGTTGTAAAAATGAAAAAAATTCCAAAATGGGTCACACAATGAAAAGTTTAGGAACCACTGATCTATTGTGCGTAGTAGGTACTACTACTCACTATACTTGTATCAAAATGTTTAACGTGGATACTCGTATTAGGTATATAATTATGTAGTCTTCACATTATGTTAGTAAACGATCATAATATATTATAATCGCTATGTATAATATTGTATTATAGTGTGTAAAACGTATAATTTAAATAGTATTTAGTCACTATATATATAATTTATTACATAAAATCATATATTCAGCTAAATCATAGTCTACCTTCTCTTTCACGTTTCCACCATCCCCATAGGCCCTAACTAGTTTGGTTATCCACCTGGATTCGAAGCCGTTTATTATGCTATTAAAATATAACATTTGCGAAATCTAAATTGTAATAAACAATAATTATTTACACTATATAAAAAATTAAAACTAAAATCCAATTTATCGAATGAAATTACCGATATTTTCAAAATCTTATTAAAAGTATATTATTAGTATATTATTATTATTAACTATCATATTTTAGGTGAAAATGTCTTAACATTTAACAGTTCAAGTGCCAATTTTCTAATTTTATATTATATTATTTTAATATGGTGAAACGCAGTAAGTTTAGTAATAAAAACGATCACAAATAAAACGAATAACGTACACTATAAGCTATACACAATTTATGTAATAAACTGTAAGTAATTCGAACAAGTTTCATATAATTCCTTAAGTGTATATTTTAGTGTTAACGGTATTGATTATACACAGTAGTCACGTTAACGCTACTGACTTTAATATATATATTTTTTTTTAATTGACACGATTACACTATAATAGCGTTCATTGTGTGTCTATAAACGCTACTGTATCGAGTGACCGTCCCATAAACGGTATTTGATTGCTTAGTATTAATTAAACGGTCCATAAAAAAATGGTATGGGTCAAGTATAACTTTCAAAAGATCACTACTAATTCTCGTGAATACCGTACTTGAACCGCAATCATCAGACATGGCTTTATATTATAATATTTACTAGACAGTTCATTAAAAATAAACAGCGTTGGATAGTGAAAACGAAAGTGAAGGACACTCAAGATTCAGATAAAGAAAAACATCTCACCGATATGGTGTATATATTATTATGAATAGTAGCTAGGTGATTCATTTAAGTGTCTACACTCATTATTTTGAAAAGTTTTAAGTTTTTTTTTGAAAATATTCTTTTCATATAATTTGATGTAATTTCAAAACATTTCTGGAAAAAATTATATTTTTTACTATTTTTATTGTTGCCATTTTTTAAGCATATTACTTTTTTCAATGACACTGAAATTTTGCATTTGATATTCCTAAGGTAAATATTATTCCGAGTATTTCAATGAATAAAAATCAAATTTCAGAGAAGTTATAAATATTTAAAGTTTAGATTAGCGGAGTAGCGAACAAAATTTAAGGTGTACCCCTGTGGCCCTGTACCACTCTACACTACTCGTCTAAACTTTCAATGCTTATAACTAAGGAATTTGCAGACAATTTATCTTTGTAGATCAAAATATTCCAAATAATATTCTGCATTGAAATATAAAATAAAAAATGTTTGTCATTAAAAAAGTAAAAACTTATAAAATGATAAAGATACAAAACAGTAATAAATATAGTTTTTCAGAAATGTTGTTTTAAAATGAGATCAAATTATGTAAAAATATTATTTTTAGAAAAGTTAAAAATCTTCAGAATACTAATGGGAATTGAATCTTTAATGGACCATCCTGTATATATTATGTATACAGTGTACACATATTATTAATTTACCGTGTATCTAATAAGTAAAAAAACTATACTTTCAAGGCATAATAAGCGAAGTCGATGGTAAAATTGTAAATATTACAATAGATCCATAATACCTTACAATATTAAACACTTGCTGTCTGCTGCAGTGATAATCGCATAGTAAAATATTCGAAACATGTCAAAATTATTATCAAACAGTATGCAATTTTATCACTATGTGTGAATAGAGTTGTTTTGAATTTAAAAGGAAAGAAAAACAAAAAATAAATGAATTTGTTCGACACGCGTTATACCATAAGAAAATAAACAATTTTTGTTTTTAACTAGATACTAGAAATTACAAAAAAAAAAACCACATTAATTGAATACAACCGACTTTGTAGGGTTTCCAAGTAGTCCCGGTTCCATTAGTAATTTTGAAAAAAATCTGCCACAACACCATTAACACACGAACAGCCGTCGGTTAGGCTTGACGAGATAAACGTCGTGCTGGGGCTCGAGTAATATTCCGGCAGGAAAAAGGATAAAAAAAAAAAAATGCAGCTAAATTCGAACAGTATGTATAGACACGTAGACGACAAAACGTACATGACTCGCAGCTCTGTGCGGACTTTGAGCAGGACATCTAGAAAGTTATTGGTTTTTTTCAACAATGCGTGCCCCCATGCCCGCCCATCAAAGACAACCGAGAAGGCAAAAAAAGTCTGTCTCTCTCCACAAAGAATACAAATAGAATGAAATATTTTATTCTCACAAAACTAATCACTCCAAAAACACGGACATCCGGGCTGATTTGGGCCTTTATTTGCAATGTCTCCAATTCGAATTTGATCCCTTCCGTGAAGCGCCGAAACACTTTTTGAAGTCCTTTTTATAAAGTGTTTCCTACCTCAGCGATTGATGATCGGTTATTGATTTCGTATTACAACAGGGTTGTTCACTATATTATATTATATTGGATAGAGCAATGTTTTCGGGAATGACATATTTTTAAGTACCTACTCATATACATGTGAGGAATATTGCTCTCATAATATTTTGATAGATCAAACTTTCTTGAGGAGTTGGTGTTTGCGTGACTCATCAATACATAATATAAAAATTATTTAAATGTTTTAAATTAAGTAGGTGGAAAATAAATTACTATTATATACTATCTAGTTTGATCGAAAGACAATAATTTTATTGCATGACGAGAGGTGGGCTAATGAAATAAAAGTAAAAAATGTAATTTGTTTATGAACAAAATATTCAATATTCACCTACAGCAAAATAAAATAACATAATCGTATCATAATATAGAATTTAAAGAAAAATGAAACCAATAGTAGGTACCTACTCAGAACATTTTAAAAACATAATAAAATCATTTTTTAGTATAATGACATCCGGCCCTTAATTTGGTCGTAACAAAATGCTGTTTGTAATAATTTACGAAATTATCGCAGTCGAACGACCACAGAAGTATCGGTTTCTTTGATATGTTATTCTATTGGTTTTTTCTCGCTCGGAAGTCATTCAATTTAATGTTTACTTCTGTGACTGGGTCAGTGAAAAAAAAGTCATGACGGTTTAACGAGGTTACCACTCGACTGAAAGCATTGTTGATCTGGCCTTAACGTTTCGTTTTGTTATTGTAAAGAGAGTTTTCTCGTATCTTTTTTTTTTCATTTTTTTAGATCTGAAAACTGTTCAAAAATTCCTTTTAGGGAATCAAAAGACACTCAGCGAGATCTCACAAAGATCCCAATTATATTTTTCATCTCCTATTTCTTTTTTTCGTTTATCATTTCGTCTAACACGACGTGGGTAGTACCTATATAATATATATAGATAGTATTTTTCCTTTTGTATTGTTATTATTATTACTATATGTCATTATTATTGTTAGTAATGCTCATATTACGATGGTTTAGTTATGGTCGT